TGTCTTTCTAGTTGTTTCTCAGTTTAATCTCTGCAGTTTAGACTAACCTGCAAAGATTGAATCGATTTGAGCTTTTTGACTGTCTGCTTATGTCAGCAGAAGACATAGCTTATATCAACGGAAGAATTGTTTGTTTATTGTAGTTTTGCCAAGTTCTTGTGACAGCAGAACTTCTTTGCTGGTATAACTCCATCTCTAGCAGGCTTTTTTTTCTCCCAACCTAGGTCAGTAAAATTGTGTCAAATGTTCCCCACTTGGAGTTTCTAAACCTGAGTTCCAACCCTCTGAATTTGTCAGTTTTAGAGAGAAGGTGTGCTGGGTCTTTCTCTGGTGTCCGCAAACTTGTGCTCAACAACAGCAAAACTTCCTGGGAAACGGTCCACACAATACTCCAGGAATTACCAGAGTAAGCATGGGGAGCTTGGCATGGAGGAGAGGTGCCTGCTGCATGCAGGGAAAGTATGCCGGTGCCAGGAGAGGTGGGGGTGAGTGGGAAGAGCCGAGGAGAAGTCTGATTTCATTTCTTTGGGGTTTCACTATGTCTGTGATGCTCAAGGCACACTTTCTCAATCTAAATATTGGTGCTGAGTTAATAGATTATAGTCCTGGTTATTTAGTATATGACATCCTTTCCTCTGAGTCACTTCTGAATGAATGGCACTGCACAGTGCTGTGCTCATAGCTTTTGGATGAGATGTAAATCTGAGGTTCTGGCCACTGGTCATTGAAGATGTTGTCATGTTTTTCATGAATTGACTTGTTTGATTTGTGTCTCAGCCAAAATCCCACTTGGCAGTGACGGTCTGCCTCCCTGAATTTCCTGGACAGTTTCATCTGGATACCAGGTTTCTCTGTAAATCCAACCTTACTGCTGTATACTCAACTTTAATAAAGGCAACCTTAACTAAGCATGTATTATTAGGACATCTCACAGGGAACCAGTTTAGCCCTCTTATAATTAATAGTAGCAATCGCTATTTATCTGAGGTGTTGGTAGCATAAATTAATGGGGATTTTGACAAGAATGCCCATAACCTTGGCTATGAAAAGAAATGTTCATTTATGCCCTATAATACCTGTGTCCATGTACGTGCTGGTTTAGGCTTCTTGCAGGTGCAAAAAACTCATGCATTTAGGCCAGAGGTGGTGGTATGATGCCAATTTAAAATGCTTCTGTATGTACATGCATTAAGTGATAGATTACTAGGAAAACCTTTGAAGTTTAAGAAATTTTAGCAGCAAGTTGCCCCTGTGAAGTGCACTTTCAACTCTTGGTGAAGCAGAGGTCTGGGTGAAAACATATCCCAAAGTCAAAAGATTCCCAGGATGCTTGAAACTGAAAGATGCTTTGGAAGACCTTGTGTTGCAAATTGTGCACCGTCCATGTTTAAGCCATGCGCGTAGGCCTCTCGAACCATTTCTATTTCACAGGGACTCTGGAACTAAAAGTTTGTGTCTTTCCCTGTGCAGCTTGGAGGAGCTCTTCCTGTGCCTTAATGACTATGAAACAGTGTCTTGTTCTCCGGTTTGCTGTCAGTCTCTCAAATTGCTCCACATAACTGACAATAATCTTCGGGACTGGACTGAAATCAGAAAGCTTGGAATTATGTTTCCGTTGCTTGACACGCTTATCCTGGCTAACAATCACGTAACGACCATTGAAGACTCAGAAGATTCTCTGGCAAGGCTGTTCCCAAACTTGCGATCCATAAACTTGCACAAGTCAGGTGAGGTACTGCAAGCAGCATCCTCTGTGTTCCATGCATAGATGATGCTAGTTGAGCTGAGAGAGGGGGAGTAATATTCTCCTCTCGCTGCAATCTAAACCTATGCTTAAACAGGGAGGGGAAGTGTGCTGTTTTGCTGTAATGGCTTCCTGCACCTTTCGAAGGCGCATTCTGCAGTCAGCATTGCTTTCTGTTGGTTGCTGCTGCGTTAAGTAAATGAGGACAGGCGAGGAGGTGGATGAAAAGCATAAGCTATCTGCAGTAAAGTGGGAATGCATGTGTTCATTGGTGATATATTGGAACCTGCCATCACCTTGGGCCCTGTCTATTCTGGCTGCTAACTAGTCTAAACAGAATTGATAAATGCAGCCCAAAGAGGGCTGCAGTGCAAGTATGCCTGTATCACTAATTGAGCTAGAGATCCCTTATGCCATGAATTGTTCCCCCTCTGCACTTGCCGGCCAGACTGTATTAGAGTGCAGCTAGGCTCTACTGAGGGAGAAGTCCGGGCTGCAAAGTTCTTAGGTCTGGATCCAAAGCCTCCCCAAATTTATGGGGTGGATATTAGTTCTTCTTTTCATAAGCCTTAGATACCTACAGTATGCACATATCGGGAGTAGGATTCCCAATATCTGGAAAAGCAGCAGTTACTGTGAGGTAAGTAACTGATCTCTGCTGGGTTTGGGTCATGGTGTCTCTGGAGCTATAACAGTTTTGAGGGTGGGTCATGTCAGGGCAGTGTGGGCGGTCTTGGGGACTCCACACATGAGATCACATCAAGTTGGAGCCGGTTCCCAAGATCCTGAGCAACATGCAGACTTTCTGTAACGTTTTTCAGCGAGGCTGCAACTCTTGTGATGAAAGAGATGGATGTGTTCTGCATTACATTTGCCATTGACCCTGATCTAAGGTTTAGAAATGCCATAGGAGCCCACTTGCTCGTGGCATTGCTCTGAGAACACGCAAGGAGAAGCCAGACCAATAACTTAAGAAAACAGTGTGAAGAGAAGAGGGCAAGCAAGAAAGCAGCACTCTTCCCTACCCCATCTCTGTTCCTTTCAGCTCCTCCAGCTTCTAGCACTGTCTTGTTCTCCAAGTAATGGTTTAGGCTCACATGTGGATCTGCTGCTATCACTCAGATATAATGGGCAAGGTTCGCTGCAGTGATAGAGCTGATATCCTAACAGTGGACTTGTAGGAGTGGGGGAAATGACCAGTGGTGGGGGATTAAAACAAAAAAATGTTCACTTGCAGGTTGCTAGAGGCCAGTAGATGTTTTTTGCCTTCAACTCCCCATGTGTTCTGGGGAGGAAAAAACATACTGGTAGCTGGAAGAAAATGTTTGTAACTGAGGAGTCGATCTCTGTTCTGAGGTCAAACTACCTCTTTTTTATCTCTGTTCTGAGGTAAAACTACCCACAAGATTCTGGCCTTGGCTTATAGGGGCATAGTATCACAGTGGTAGGTGCCAGGGATCAAATTTTACAAATAGATCCCAGGGCCTGTATTTGCCTTCCATACCAATGGCATCCACATACCAATGGAATCGAGTTTACCAGAAGCCATGTTTTAGGTTTCTTTATAGGTCGTTTTCTCAACAGCAGCAAGCGCATGTTGCAGTCAATGATGTGTGGTCACTCATTGTTGGCCCCATCTACTGTGCTTCCTGGGCTGAGTTGGAGAACCTAGGCTTCTTCAAGTACCACATTAAAAAAGAAAAAAAACAACAGTTTCCTAGTGATTGAGCTTGTGTATGTATGTGTATATGTGTATGTGTGTGTGTGTGTATATATATATATATATATA